TCACATGAGCGACAACAGTGCAACGCTGGCGGCGAGAGATGCCGCAACTGCTTGGATTTCAACCAGCAGCAAGCTCGTCTCGGCAAGCCCGGTCGTCGCCAAGCCAACCACAAGGCCACTCCGCCGCTTGTCCCAGCGCCCAGGCCTTTTGCCGTCGTCTGGCCGAAAGGACAGACTTTGGCGCGGTGGCAGCACCTAGTTCTAACTAATGTTAGAGCTAGTGCAGCTCAACCTTGGGAAAAGGCAAGTTGCGTCTAGTATTATCTGTACTTTAGGAGCAGATGTGGTACTCTGTCAAGAAGTACCGAAGTACTTTAAGCCACCCCCATCCTATTCCTTCCATGGTCGGAAAGGATGCGGGGTTGGCATTTTGCTTAGGAACGGAATTGAAGGAACGTCGATGATGGCCAACGAAGACTTCTGTTTAGTTAGGACTCGTCTCGGCACCTTCGCATCACTTTACGCCCATCCCAACAATTCGGCTCGGCGAGAGAAGGCCTTCCAGGATCTGGAAGAAGCCTTCGCCATCGTCGGCCGATTCATCTTAGGTGCCGACGTCAATGGTTATTCTGCGTTATGGGGGTCTCCCCTCCCCACCAGCAGCACACATGACGCCCAGTGGAAGATTGGCGACGACTTCCTCACCATCTGTCTGCGTGGACACGGGATGGTCTTAAACAGGCCAGACCTGTTTCCAGACCCGACCTTTGTCGGTGGTGTTGGAAGCTCGCATATTGACGTCACTGTGGCGTTCGGCCGAGTGCCGTTACATGAATGGAAACTCTCCGATGAGTTTTCAGGTAGCGACCATCGGTTGATTCGAATTAGTTTTCAGGACTCTGCACCTAGTATTCCCCGGAGACTACAACTACGACTCACTGACCACAAGAAGGTCGGTGAAGTTGCTGCGACCATCCCGGACCACTCCTCTGCTGTGGAAATCGCCGCTACACTTTCGGAGGCTGTAGCGGCCAACACCCCTCTGATGGAGGGACGTGACTCACCTTCTTGGTGGAGTCAGAAGCTGACGAAGCTGAAGCAGGGTCTCAACAAGGCGCAGAAGAAACTCCAAGCAGCCAAGAGGAACGGCGCCGTGCTCCAGATCGAGCATTGGCAAGAAGAGCTTCTGGAGCGACGAAGACTCTACAGGATCGAAGTCCGCGCGGCGAAGAAAAGGGCCCGGGATCGCTTCTATGCATCCCTTAAAGACTTTTCAAGCTGCATCAGAGGCCCTAAAAGTAAGTCTTCTGCTGCTGTTCTTAACGGCAGGCCAGATTCCAACCAAGCGGAGTATCTACTACAAAAGCTATTCCCTCGAGACGATGACCGACAGCGAGGTCTAGACAGAGCTGGCGTCCGTCCGATCAATCGAGACCTGGTGGAAGAAGTCACAGAGGACGAAGTCTTACAAGCGATTGGAAGGTTGAAGATCTCGGCTCCTGGCAGCGATGGCGTCAATGGGGAAGTCTTGAAGAAGACTGCGCCACAGCTTGCTGCTAAATGGGCCGAAGCCTTCACAGATATCTTAAAGACTGGAGAATACCCAGAGGAATGG